TAGGTGGCCCTCCTGCAGCAGCCGGCAGCCCTGGGGGACTTGGCCAGTGCGCCCACAGCAACCTGGAGATGTCCCTGCCCGCCAGGCCTGCTCAGTGCCATCACTCACCTCCACTCACAGCACGTAGCCCAGTATTTATTCAAGATTGCAGAGGAGAGTGGCCTTTTCCAAGGACTCATTTGGCTGGTTGGGGAGGTGGGTGGGACACCTGACACTTGCCCCTGTTTCTTTGGAAGGAAACACAAATGTCCCAAAATTTTAAGAATTAGTGCATTAAGAGGTTTATTTGGGTGAGTGGCTTTTAGTGGACTCCCTGCCCTTTCCTGAGGAGGGGACAGGGACAGGGACATGGTAGACATTTCTCTGTGGACAGAAACTAGAAGGCAAGAAGTTGTGTGTGGTGTCACTGAGCACCACCCGCTGTCAGTGCCACGGGAGTAATAAATTGGCATGGTGGTGACCAGCAAAAAAAAAAAGGAGAAGTAGGAGAAGGACATCTGTTTGGTAAAGTGGTTGACCAGTGAGGGAGGTTACTCCTCAGTGAGAGAGCTTGACTTGGTGGTTGTGCTCAAACGTAGCAGCCGTCTTGAGGATGGCACAGGAGCTGCCATTTTGGTTATTCTGTTTCACATGGAATGCTCCTGAGTCAGACAGCTTGACAGCAGATAACAATGATAACCACATTCTGCCTGAAGAAATAGGGAGAGAAGGGCAGATGAAACTCAGAGCTATCAGAACAAATAATTTAGAGCAGAAATAAAAGAAATATGCTATAAAAATAATAAAGAAAATAAAATAGCTAATTCTTTGGAAAAGATCAGTAGAATAGAAATCTTTATCTAAACTATCCACTGAAAAAAGAACACTCAAATTATTAAAATGATGAGTAATAGAAAGGAAATCTTTACCAACTTTATAACAAAAAGGACTATGTGAGAACTCTCTGAGCAGCTATATACCAATGGATAAGACGAAATGGACAGACTACTTAGACACAGACTACTAAAAATTAAGATAATTGTCAGTAGATTTCTACTAAGTAGAGATTGAATTAGTAATTTTTTCCTTCAAAGTAAAGCAATTAACACTGGTGATTTCTGCCAATTTAAGTCAGAATACCAATTCTTCACAAACTCTGCCAAAATGTTTTTTTTTCTATATGAGGTGACTTCCCCCTCTCATTTTATGAGACTATTAGTAATCCTGTTGCCAAAGATAACATGCAAAGAAGAGAACAGATCAGTATCTGCTGTGCATACAGATGGGTGGGAGGGGAGAAGCTCCTAAACAAAATACTAACAAATAATATATAAAAAGTGTCATGGTGAATAAATACAGCATGACTAGGTAGGAATTATCATAAGACTGCAATGTTGGTTTGATTTTGTTTTTCTTTCTTGTTGTGTACTGTCAAATCTGATCTGACTGGAACAACTGCCCCTCCTTCTCCAGCGGAGCATCTAGTGGATTTGAACCACACACGTTTGAGATTGCATTACAGCTTCTTGCCATTAGGCCACCAGAGCTCCCATGCAATGTTGGTTTAACACTCAAAATTTATTTGCTTTAGTACAGTGTTACAAAGAATAAAAACCAAAAACTTACAAATCTTCTCATAGTGCAACAAGAAATACTTGACAAAAATCCAGCAACCATTCATGATAAAAAAAGCTCTCAACAACCTAGGAATAAGAGGAAACATCCTGAACCCAATAAAAAGATCTTATAGCTGACAAAAATTATACCTAATAGGGAAAAACGGAAGTCTCTTGTTGTTAAGATCAGGATGTCAACTCTCATCACTTCTGTTCAGCACTGTAATAGGAGTTTCAGCTAGGACAATTAGACAATTAAAATAAAACAAAGACTTTAGATTGCAAAACAGGAAGTGGACCTATCTGTGGATGATGGGATCTTTTCTATAGAAAAATTACAAGAATCCATACATACAGAAATTATTTGAACTGACTAGTTCAGTACGGTTGCAAGATACAAGATCAGTGTACAAAAATCAGTATACAAACATTTCTATTTCTGAAGCAGGTAATGAACATCCTAGAAATTAGTAAAATAATTTACACTTATAGTAGCAACAATGAATAAAATGTTTAAAGAACAGAAACACTGTAGAGTATAAAAAGTTAAATGAACTTAAAGATCTAAAGAAATAGATATACTTTATTCTTTTTTTAAATTTTATTATTTTTTGTGTGTGTACCGTCGAATCAGATCTGACTGGTACAGGAGGAGATTGACCCCCCCTTCTCTGGCAGAGCGTCTGGTGGATTCATACTTTATTCTTTGATAAGAAGACTTTAATTTTAAGATGGCATACTTGAGACTACACCCCCATCCTCACCAGTTTTCAGATTTTATACAATTCCTATAAAAATTTCCAAACAGACTTGTTTGTAGAAATTGACAGGCTGATTTTAAACTTCATATGAAAATTCAGGAGACCTCAAGTGGGAAAATCAACGTTTTGAAAGGACTCGCAGTAAACTCCAGAGCGAGATCCTGCCTGCCCGAGGTCACTGCTTTACCAAGGCCCTCAGGGTGAAGCCACCATCACTATGTCTGACCAGGAGGCAAAACCTTCAAGTGAGGACTTGGAGGACAAGAAAGAAGGAGAATACATCATCAAACTGTTAAGTCATTGGACAGGATAGTAGTGAAATTAACTGCAAGGTGAAAATGACAACACATATCAAGAAACTAAAAAGAATCATACTGTCAGAGACAGGGGAGGCGGGGTTCCAATGAATTCACTCAGGTTTCTCTTTGAATGTCAGAGAATTGTTGATAATCACACTCCAAAAGAACTGGGAATGGAGGAAGAAGAACTGATTGAAGTTTATCAGGAAGGAATGCGGTCATTCAGCAGTTTAGTTAACCTTGTAAATGTTTTCGTTTTTATTTTTAAAAATAGTTCTTTTGTAATGTGGTGTTCAAAACAGTTGAAAACTGGCACCTATCTTGAAAACATCTGATATTTTGAATTCTACTATTCATTATTCATTATTGTTTTGATTGTTCTGATTTTTGATGAGCAAACCTCAGCCCCCTTGATATTGCCCTCCTTTCTTAAAAATTACTTGATGTGTACAGAGAAGACACCCTTTCTAGGACTGTGCATTTTCAGGTTTGTGGAATAAATAAGATCAGCCAATGCAAGTGTTCATAATGACTTTCCATTTGGCTCTGAAGTTCTAGTACGTGACTGCCTCATGCCTGGACTGTGACTTCAGTGGGAGATGGAAGTTTTTCAGAGAACTCAACTGTGGAAAAATGACCTTTCCTTAACTTGAAGCTACTTACGTGAGGGTCTGGACCAAAAGAAGAGCAATATCAAGTTGCAGTCATGAAGACATATGATGAGAGTAATGACTAACTCCAGAGATGGCTTCACTGAAGAGACATTAAAATTCTTGTCAGAAGATCCCAGAAAAATTCTAAATTCCATTGGCAGTTAAATGATTCAGGCAGAAGTGTATACATCAAAACACTGCTCTCTTTTGATTTTAGTTGTATTTTTTGGCCCAGGATACCTGGGACATGGGTTATAAATGGACATTGTACCAACTTCATGAAAAGAAACAAAATAGTTGTAAAAACTGTAAAAAAAATAAAAGACTCAAACTTTCCAATGTGAGAATTTAATATGAAACTACGGTTATCAAGATACTGTGGTATTGGCATGAGGAAAGACATAATAGATCACTGAACAGGATAGAGTTCAGAAGTGAAGCATTATATGTATGATCATGTGTTTATTTTTTTGTTCTTTTCCGTAGAGGCACCCAGTCAGTTCTGTGAGGGAAATAGTCATCCAAAGGGTGCTGAACCAGCATTTCATATTGCAAACATGCATGTGTGTATGTATGTGTAAAACATTAGCCAAAAATCAAATCCCAAAATATTTACCCTTATCACATGCAATATACTTATAGTTTTTTCTGAATACTACTTAAGCTCCTTTTGGAGGGGGACAGTTTAATGACACTTTTTATAGGTCAGTTCAGTAAATCAGTTACACAATTAACCAAATTTGAGAGCTATCATTTTAAAAATACCTACCTGGGAACAAAATGATAAATTCAGATATATCTGTCTTACATTTTCCTTCCTAGTGGCCGTTTGATAATATACTTAGTGGGTTAATGTTCAAGTTAAACTTAATTAGAAATTTTATTTATTTGTTATTTTATTTTATTTTAATGAATATTTACAGAGGCTTTGCAGTTCCATTGTTGTACTTTTCTCCCTGCCCACCCTTCCACCCCCCCCCAGTCTGCTCCTCTCCTTGAAAAGTAAAAGAAAAATTCCTTCATTGGTATACAATCCCATCTGCCTACACACACTCACACATACTCACTCTCCCCCCACCACCACTATGTAACCTCTTCATTCTGGACTCTTGTCATAACCATAATACCCAATCATATATTGCTTTTAAGCTGTTCTCTCCCTTATCTGTTTCCATGTTGTATACATAATTTATGCAGTTTTTCTCAGTCTCTTCCCAACCCTGATGTCAGTCCTGTTTTACAACAGTGGCACTATGCAGTATCGGTCCTTTGTGACTGTGATATTTCACTCAGCGTAATGTCCTCCAGGGTCACCCATTTTGAATAATATTGCATGAGTTCCTTGTTTTTCAATGCAGCATAGTAGTCCATCGTGTGAATATACCAGCGCTTCTCTAGCCATTCGTTTGTTGATGGCCACTTAGGTTGTTTCCAGCTCTTTGCTATAATTTTACCTGTAATTAAAAATAATCAAGCTCCTATTAAAAACCGTGAGTTAAAATCCCCTGAGCTATATTTAGACTCATTTTGTTTTTATAGTTTTGTGGAGATACAGTTTTAGTCTGGCTTAAAATTTTACATTTGTTAATTTATCTGTTTTTAAATTTTGTCTTTGCTTTAAAATGCATTTTTGCTTTTGATAATAGCTTGGGAAAGGGTTTGGTGCAAATCTTTTACCAAATATTTTTGCAGGGACACTTAGTCATTCTGGATGAACCAGCTTCGGGAGCTGGGCAAGAAGCTCTGCTTAAACAAGAGCAAGCAAAAATCATTCGATTCGAGAGACAAGCAGAAGAGTTCCTCAATGCAGTCTTTTATAGAAAAGGTTGGTCTCAGTGAAGAAGTAACATTTATCATCTGCTTGTCTTACATTAATCTCCTTAATTTGAATGTCATTTTTACTAAAGAAATACAAGGATTTTTTTATAATTCACTTTATATTTCTCTGATTAAATTATATTTGAAATAGGGTAAGGCAACACTCTTTTTTTTTCTTTTCAGAAGTGATAGTGCCATGTACGTTTTTGTTAAATAGTTCAGAAAACTATTGTTAAAGTAGTAATATCTTAGCATTTCTATTTTTTAAAGACAGTACAGACAAATACACATTTGTGCATATAATTACTGCTTACTTTCAGATAACAAAATGCTATTTTAGTAACTTTTGAAGTTTTCCTTGGAGACAAATATAATCTCAAAAATATACAAGCATTTTGTCTCTGATATATTTGTTACTAGCTTACCCTTATGTGTTTAAGGTAACGTTTACTAAGTTGACCTTTTAAGTTTTCCAGTTACTTTTTCTCCCTGAAACGTCTACATTTGCTTTGCATTTATTTTAAAATACAAATGTATATAGAAATTTTTTTCAATCATGCACGTTAGAGTTTAGAAATTACTCATAGAGACGTTTAGTTCTTTTCCCTGCCCACACAGCATCATTTCCATAAGCTGAGCAGACATTCTCTTCTCCTGATGTATTCTAGTGGCAGTCTTTACAAATGGATTTGAGTTCCTTAGGTCTACTTTTCCTCTCTTTCAACCAGAAGTTACTATGATACATTCTTTTTTAAGAAACACCAAAAACCCAACAGACTAATAGTTTAGTATTTCTTCAAATGTTTGAGTTCAGTATAAGATGAAGGAAGTGTTGTATAAAATTAGAGAATGCGTAGAGATAGATTCCCCTGCCCTCCATGAGACATACAGTTCCTTTCTTTATATCTCTAGGCAAAAGAAAATCCTTTTATACACTCTTGCATCTTTTTTAAAATTTAAATACTCACTAGCACTCTCTGACTCTAAAAGTTCCCAATCTCATGGGAAACACTGGTGGCCTAGTTCATAGAGTTGTGCTACTCACTCAAAGGCCTCTGTGACCATTCGAATCCATTAATGGCTTCTTGGGAGAACTATGATCAGTGTCCTCCCAGGTGATTTACAGCCCTGAACACTCAGTAGTGGATCTTGGTTCTCAATATTGAGTGTTTTGAGAGCAGCCTAACCCTAAAGCTCTCATCCTAGGCTTTCACAGTTAGTTTTCCATTCTCAATTCCAAAATTCTATTGAGAATAAATATTTGGTTAGTATTATTAACATGTGATTACTCCATTAAAGTAAAAATGGTCAATTCCATCAGTTATCTAATAACATCTCCTCCTCTCCTTTAGGATTTGATTTATATTAAGTCATAGTTTTGTTAATGTGTTGCTGTAGCAAACCTCAGTGTCTGACAAAAGTTTCTTTCACTGACTTACATGGTAGAACCACTTTTCATCTTTTCTTTGGTTAGAGGAAATTAACAAAGTCAATATGAGCTAGATTCCCAGGAAAATTCTAACATCACATTGCCTTTCATCAAAGTATAAGTTACTTTAACATTCTTAGTTAGTTTACATATTTAGAAATTAAACTTTTGGGCACATAACCCTTTATGGAGTGTTTTTACATTGTACTTGGTCTTCGAATAGAATACAAAGGGATGAGAATCCTCTACAGTCGCATGTAAAGTTAAGTATTTTACAACTTTGCATGTTTATTTATTAACTCTGCATGCAGTGGCTCAGAGAACTTGTTTGAGAATTAAAAATTACATACTAACACTGTTATTTTTAGGTAGTAACCTTGAAAATTGCTCAGAGATGGCTTCCAAATGAATATTTTTAAAGTTTTATTATCCACGAATATGAGAGTTTAGCCTAAAGAGGATATTTCATTTTTAAATTTTTTTTAAAAAAAAACACCTTTAGACGCTTAAATGTTTTGCTTTCCTTCCTACTATTGTAAATTGTGGGTTTGTTGTTTTTTTGGTTTTTTTTAATTAAGTAGGCAAAGGTTAGGTAGGAAGGCAAAAATAATTAAAACTAAAGTTGACTTTCATAGTATGTTACTGTGTAGTAAATTATTATTTTCAAACTACATTCTACAGCTGGTATAAATAATTTTTTAAAAGTATTTTGCCATTTCTGTTTGAAAATTTTAGTGTTCTAAATTTTAGATTTGTACTTTAAAATATATGTGGCTGTGATTTAGTATTTAAGTGTTTTACTGTAGTTGGGATCTTTATCTTATTTGTTGCTTTTATTTGACTGAGTAATGTGTATTCCCCTAGGCATAGATGTTTTAGTAGATGTTGTGTTTTAAGTAAGTGAAAGAACATTCTTCAGGAACATTCAAAAGACATAAATATTCAAGTGGAGAGATGTAATCTGATTCATAAACATTGAATGTATAGTGTTTCATGGTTGTTTTAGTCATCCCATCAACATAGAGGCAGAATATGCTGCAAGCGTGAAAAACTCAACAACCACCATGTATGATCTTTATTTTAAAATATTTTACATAGTTTATGTGTTTTATTTATTAATCTAACACCAAGGTATCTCATAAATTACATCATTTTGCTTCCTATTTGACCATTTTTCTTTTTGTATGTTATTTATTCTCCAATTTTGCCAAAGAAAACATACTTTAAATTATATAAAAATCTTATGTACACTTGATTACAAAAACTTCCTCTGTGGAAGAAAACAAGAGATCTTAATTTGGTTCTTAAATGAAGGTTGGCAAGGAAATTTCATGACTAGCTATTTTATAAAGGAGTATATGGCCAGAATGTTTTTAATATATATTGGCTTGCATACAGAATCTTTATTAAAAACATTTAAAAGACATATTGCCAGAGATTGTAGGAACTTCTAAATTTTACCCAATTGAATTATTCTCCCTCTAGAACACTTTGAGGAGTAAATAATTCTTTACAGTACAGAAATTACTTCACTGATAAAAGAAGCCTTGTTAAACTCCAGAGGATTAAATGAACATTCTGAATTTATAGGCATTTTCTGATGCGGAATATTTCTTTCTAAGAAAAATTAAAAATCGGTTGTAGATGTGCTGTAAGAGTAGTTGTTGTTTGCCGTAGAGTCAGAATCAACTCATAGCTGACCATCCAGCTGGTTTTCAGAAGCTGTAAATCACCCAGGAAGAGATTGCCCATCCTTCTCCCATGGAGCAGCTGGTGGATTTCAACTGAGCTTCCTTTGTGAAGTATAGTAGGGGAGTAAAGGAAACAGATGAAACATTAAGATCAGGATATAAGTTCTAATCAAAGACCTCTAGCTATCCATCTATACAAACTTGAACAGTCCATTTACTCTTTAGATCACATGTCCCTCATTTGCTTAAAAAATTATAATGATTGATTCATCTATTTATTGTCCATCAAATATGAGTATTTGCTTTACACCATGCAAGGTTAGGTAATATACACAGGAAGTAAGCCTAATCTCTGTTCTTGGGAGGCTTAGTCCACCTAATAGACCATTATTACAGTGTGGTAATGATTAAAATAATGGTGTTAATAATAATAATTTATGTATATAAAACATTTACTCCTTAATTTTATTCTGTTTCATTTTCATGGTCCCTTCCGATGCAAAAAGTTGTGCCAGTAAACTAAAATTATTATAGCCTTTATTTTATTATGAAGAGATGGCTAAGGAACAATCTAGATGAAACTTGATTATGCTTTGTATGTGAGAAAACAAGAGTAATTCTTTCATAAGAGAAAAGTTTTGAGATTTTTTGTATCAGGTAAGTGACTCTTACCCATAAGATGTTTGTGATCCCTTTATTTCATTTCATAATTCTAGGAGAAATGTTTAGAAATATTTCAATAAAATTTTATTTTTCAAAATCTACAGCTCATAAGCTTAGAAATTAAAAAAAATACAATTCAAAGAGGGAATACTATTTTTAGGATGCTGCATTTTTAAGAAAAAGAAATTTAAAATGGGAATTTTATGTTTGATTGAAAGCTTTCTTTTTAGTACATTGTCCCACTTTAAAGTAAATAAATCTTTGTTTACAGACAGTCCCTGGGTCTCCGACCCCAATATTCCCCTAGTGGCCCGTGAGATCATGCAGCGAATGATCCAACAATTTGCTGCTGAATATACCTCAAAAAATAGCTCTACTCAGGACCCCAGCCAGCCCAATAGCACAAAGAACCAAAGCCTGCCGAAAGCATCTCCAGTCACCACCTCTCCCACGGCTGCAACTACTCAGAACCCTGTGCTCAGCAAACTTCTCATGGCTGACCAAGACTCACCTCTGGACCTTACTGTCAGAAAGTCTCAGTCAGAACCTAGCGAACAAGGTATGGTTTGATATTAAGGTCTCCTCTATCTAATCACAGTACTTTAATTTGGGGAGAAAAAGAATATATAGGTAAATAGGGCAGCTGCAGCAGTAATATTAGATGAAAACTAATGTGATTATTAAATAATATCTGATATGTAGCTGTGGAGAAGCATAGCTAACGTTGCTTACCTTAACCATCAGCAGTTAGTAGTTATGGTTGATGTACCACCCAGGAAAGCTAGGTAGTTACAGTTGCTCTTCAATTTTAAGTTATTTGATATTTACATAAGTATTTTAGACTTTGCAAAGCATTTTCCTATCAGGATTTTTTTTTAAATAATTTGAACCTCTATAAAGAAAGATGTTTCCCCTTATCCGTCAGTGGTCTGGGACTAGTATTTCTGAGAAATAAGCCTGCTCTTACTTGTTAGGTAGATGTTATACTCTACAGTTAAGGCAATAAAGCAAAAATATGTATTTTTTTGCAATTTTAAACAATGGGAAGTTTAAGATTGGAATACAGACAGCCCCTGGTAACAGAAGAAATCCGAATACTGGTTGTCTTTAAGTTAAATTATATATAGGTCAGTCAGTTCAGGTACAAACAGTTCTTATTTAGTCCTACTTAGTGCAAGAAAAGGCTGTAAGCCCTTTCAGTGACTTAAAAGGTGCATCTACTATAAGTGAATGTAATAATTATGGAGAAATTATTCAGGTAGATGTTGGTGCAGTCACTTCAAATAAGGGTAAATTTATACAACATTAAAGGGCAACTAGAAATTATTTTTTCATAATCCAGAAATATATAGTTGGACTAGTAGTTTTGTAATTAAGTGATTTAAAGTTTATTCAATGTTATAAACATATAATGTACACCTACATGTAGTTTTATGAAACCTTAGAAAGTTTCCAAAAGAAAATTTCTTGATGAGGATTCTGATTAAGTTGAATAAATTAGAAAATATTTCTTGAGTTTCTTAAATATTTATTGTCCTAAGTAGGTTAAATATTCCCAGTGCTTTCTAATCTCAATTTACCTTTCATTTCATAAAGCTATAAAGATGAGTTGAGCATTTCAGCCCAGCCATTGTTTGAACCAATAGAATTTGGAAATTGGTGATATTTGTACTGATTAGACTTTATTGTAGAAATTCCCTAAGGATATAAAAAAAGGCTATGAGACAAGAGTTTATTCACAAGAAATATGCATACTTGGGGAAAGAAAGAAATGTTAATTGCCCTCCTTTAAAAAAAAAAGGACTCTTCCTAAGTAGTTTATGAAGGGCTTCCTGGCTTTAGCTGCTTAAAGAATATATTTTTGATTCAAACTAGATATGTACGGATGTTTCAACATTAGAAAAACAATCTGTGCGATCAATGATATCAATAAAACAAAGGACAAGAACCAAAAAACAAAAAAAGAATATATTCTTTTGAGGAGTTCTCCTTTGTCTTTTTCCTCTCTCTGTCATAAACAGCACTTAGAATCTTTTTAACTTCTCTGAGGTTTCCTGACAGATCTAGTTGTTCAGTGTGCACATTGATCAGAGTACCTTTGGTTACCATTTTGCCAAGTTGTCTTTTCTGCTTTATTAGAGATTTCTCTTTCATAAATTGATCCTTACTTATTAAGAATATCCTTGCTCTAAATGCCTGAAAAGCACCAGGTTTACCCTAGGAGAATGACCACATAGGAGCTGTATTTAAAGGCTATTTTTATTTTAAATGGAAGATGGTACACTAAGAGGCCACTTAACTTCTATTATTAGTGTTATAATAAAGAGATAAGTTTATTGACAGCAGGCTTTTACCAAGAGAAATTTTAATTAACTGTAGTGAGTAAACAACTATTGAAACAAAATATTTTAAACTACATTTCTTTAGTGATTTTTTATGTGATTTCACCTGTAATGACAATATTTGTTGATACTATAAAATATGTTACCTATTTGATTAGGCAGGCTTCAAAGATTTTAAATAGTACTATCTTTGAAAAACTTTTAAGCAATGCAATTGTGTGTTAGATGTCTAATTGGGCTAAGATCCTTGAGTCTATAAGATTTTAATTACATTTTAGAAATACTGCTCTAAAGGATGGAATTTAAATTTATGCAGTTGTGGGCTTAGCTTGTTTGTCTGTTTGTACAAACTAAGGATGAATATATTTCCAACAGCCTGAAATAAGGAGTTAACAATGGCCGCAGACATGTGTCATAGGTAGCTTCTCTATTTGGGGACAATTTGTAACATAACTAGAAAGCTGCTGAACACTTGAAAATCAGATGTGTTTATTCTTACTTTGTTTTGTTAGTTTTGTAAAGATTAAGAGCTTTGAAAGTCCAGGCTGTGAGATTTTTAGATACATCTATTAAGGAAAAAAGTTTTTGAGGAGGAAACAGATTGTCTCTATATATTGTTGTTATGTACCATCAAGTCAGAACTGCCTCACATTGACTTTCCAGCAGATTTTCAGAGACAGTGAGTTGCACAGGAGGAGATTGTCTTTTCTCCCACAGAGCAGCTGGTGAATTTGAGTCACGTGCCTTTGGGTTGGTAGTGCAATTCCTTTCCATTAGGCCCCAGATCCCTTTTTACATATTAGTAGCATTTATTTATGGTTTGGTCTAACTTCAATGAAAATTATGGTTATACCTCCAGATATTTATCAGTAATAAATAAAACAATTTCCTTCTTTCCTTCCTTCCCTAAATTTTGCCTGTCAATTTATAATGTCTTATTAATGGAAACATTTTTTTAAAATTTCTCAGTTGACTTTTGAATCTCTAGAATTTTTCAGTAAATTGATACCAAATGTATGATTTTATATTTACAGATATATCCAAATAAAGTTAAGGTCCACTTAAAATATAAGTAGTTAGCAACTATATTGTTGCAATTTAATGAAAATTCAGCTTTTATGTACTTTTGGTGGTCTTGTTTAATAGATAATATGACATTATGTAGGGCAGTTGAAAACTGCTATCAAGATAGATTTAGAAAGCAAAGCCTAATATTTCTAGTGTAGAACCTCATGCAGTATGAACTGATATTTCTAATACCTCAGTATTGTAACTTCTCCTAAGACCTGCTTTATCTTTTCTTTTGATCCTATTAGTAAAACGTTTAGACATAAATGCCTTACTAAATTTGTATTACCTTTAGAAGGAACATTTATACTGATTTTTATTCCATGAATTAATTTAATCACATGTATATTGTCTAGTTACCCATTTAGTTGGCTAGATCTGTTTTTCCCCCAGCTTTTAGCTTATGCATTTCACATTTGTACCTAGATTTTAATATCCTCAGGTGTTCTTTGTGTCTCTGCAGACGGTGTACTTGATCTATCCACTAAGAAAAGTCCATGTGCTGGCAGCACTTCCCTGAGCCATTCTCCAGGCTGCTCCAGTACTCAAGGGAACGGGTAAGGGAAATTATTTGTAGCTTTCCATAATTTTGCAGAGCCAGTTGATCAAAGCTTGAAGCCATTCTCCTTTGTATATTTTAATCATTTAACCCTTCAAAGTATCAGTCTTGTAGGTGAGACTTTTAGTCTTTACAAGCCTAGTGAAATCTTGGAATTTAAAAGTGGATAGTGTAGATCAGTTTTACTCAGATTAGGACAGATTATGTATGCAGATTTTTTGTTGAGAGTTTTGTATGTTGAAAGCCTAGCAGTATTGTATGTATGGAAATTTTAGAATGAAAACTGGATTCCAGAATTTAACCTGGTATTTTGTGTGTCGGTGTGTGGGTGTGTTTGGTTTGTTGATTTGAACTGCGATTTTAATTTCATATTGCAGTTCATAAAATGTAATGATATAAATTTTTTTGTTTTCTAAAAAGAAGACTCATTGTAGATGTTGATAGATAGCTATTTTATGCTCAGTTTTGATAATAAGTAACTTCTCTGACCATCTGATTTTACAGTATAGGGATTTTCGGTTTCTTCTATATGTACATTGTACCTGTTTAGAAAAATCACATATTGAAAATATTTAGAAGTCACTGTGACAAGGTATTTCCGTATAACTGTGACCGAGAATCAAATTCATCTAGATAAAATAATTTCATTAGGTCTAAATTAGTAAATAACAGGTTTATTCAATTTTCAGAATATAAACTTGGGAAATTATACATTAAAATAATAAGTAGACACTAAGTGAACATTTGCAACTTAATATTCTAATTACATTCAAACTGAAGGATTCCGTTAATGATTTTCAAAATATCCCCGTTGTTTTCTTTAAAATAGCATCATTTTTATTTTCCTCACCTGCTAGTTTCCATCTGAAAAATCTATTACTCTATTTTTCATAGTTTACTAATCTTTTTTATTAAGCCCTTCTTTTCTTTATAATTTATGCTGTATATAAAGTAATATGGTCCCAAATTATTGGATTCCATTAATATACATGTATTTAAAAAAAACAAATACACAGACTTTCACCTTGCATAATAAAAAACATTCAGGAAAAACCAAAATATGGTTTGCAAAATGGCTCTTACATATAGTTCACTTTAAATTTGGCCACCACGTCCACATATTATATGGTTGAACTCATTGTGTTTATCCCTCTGAATGGAAAGTGTTTTCTACATCGTGGCTTTATGAAAGACAAATACACTAACAATACCACCCATATTTTAGTTGAATATTTAGATGTTATCTTTACTGTGGCAGCACAGAATCCCTCTAGACTCATATGTGGTTTACCATAATTTATGCAAAATTTACTTTTACTGTAATCATTCCCATGGAGCATGGTTTGTCAGTTGCCAACCTTAATATTGATACTCTTTCTCTATTGTGAATATCAAACTTAGGGTGCGGCCATCATTTCAAAGCTAGCCACTTAAATTTCAGAATAGATGTTTGGTGTTTCAAGAAGAATAGTTTTTTAATCTAAGGAAGCTGTAAAATTGTTTACCTCTGACAATAATCACTTTGACTAGCACCTAAGGAACAAAATTCTGGGAAAGTCACAGGGTAATTTTTGGAAGATCTTAAATACAGAATCAGTGGTACTCATGTGTCTGCAAGTGATAGTGTTTTTAAATGGAGAAGTATGGTAAGTTATAATCCAGTAGGGATTTTGGTTTTAATTTTAGTTTTTGGCTGGCAACCATAATTTATTTTTTCTATTTTGCCAAGCAAAATAAGGAATACTATTTACAGTGGTTTGATAATTTTTTTAAAAATAATGAACATCACCTTGTTTGTGGGACAAATGAGCAATTACCTATGGGTTCCACAAGTGTGTAAAAATGGTTCCAGTTTTGTACCTGGTTGTCTTGAATGTTGAATATGTTGCATTAAAATAAGTGATTTTGGCTTACTCTTTTATTATTGTACTTGTTTAGTGGTAACGTCACATTGGTAACACGATTCTGTGTAGCTCTATAACTACTTGATGATTACTTTGTAATTAATAATTGAAGTGCTATTTTCAGACAGTTGCGCGAAACTTTTTCTCCGAAAATTTGTGAACCCAGCCAGAGCCCAGCTGACAGGTTTAATTTTTCTTTGCCCAAAAAGCTCCAGTTTTTGTTTGTTTTTTTCTTTTTCTTTTTCTTTTTCTTTTTTGTGAACAAGTTTTAAAACTAACTGCTGAGATCGTTTAAAAAAAATTAGAGAAAAATAAATAACACAAAGTGATGTTACCCAAGCAAGGCCTTCTAATAAAGGAGTGGTCCCCTCACCCATCCCTCCCTACCTGTGCAAGTCCTGCTCACATCAGTTTCCTTCCATCCAATTAGGCGACCTGGGAGACCCAGCCAGTACCGCCCAGACGGACTTCGGAGTGGTGATGGGGTACCTCCAAGAAGCTTGCAGGATGGCACCAGGGAAGGTTTTGGACACTCCACATCACTCAAAGTTCCACTGGCTCGATCTCTGCAGATTAGTGAAGAACTACTGAGCAGAAACCAATTGTCCACAGCTGCCAGCCTTGGACCATCTGGATTACAGAATCATGGACAACACTTAATATTATCCAGGGAAGCCTCTTGGGCGAAACCACACTATGAATTCAACCTCAACCGTATGAAATTCAGGGGAAATGGTGCACTCAGCAACATCAGTGACCTTCCTTTTCTTGCAGAAAACTCTGCCTTTCCAAAAATGGCACTTCAAGCAAAACAAGATGGAAAAAAGGATGTGAGCCATTCATCTCCTGTAGATTTAAAGATACCACAAGTTCGAGGAATGGATCTTTCTTGGGAGTCTCGCACTGGTGATCAGTACAGCTATAGCTCTTTGGTAATGGGTTCACAAACGGAGAGCGCGCTTAGTAAAAAATTAAGGGCTATTCTTCCAAAACAAAATAGAAAAAGCATGCTAGATGCTGGACCTGATTCTTGGGGCTCAGATGCTGAGCAGTCTACCTCTGGACAGCCATATCCCACATCGGATCAAGAAGGAGACCCTGGCTCCAAGCAGCCTCGGAAGAAAAGAGGGCGTTACAGACAGTACAACAGTGAGATACTGGAGGAAGCCATCTCAGTAGTTATGAGTGGAAAAATGAGTGTTTCCAAAGCTCAGAGTATTTATGGGATTCCCCACAGTACACTGGAGTACAAAGTGAAAGAGAGGCTGGGCACTTTGAAAAACCCTCCAAAGAAAAAGATGAAATTAATGAGGTCGGAGGGGCCAGATGTTTCTGTAAAGATTGAATTAGATCCCCAGGGAGAGGCAGCACAAAGTGCAAATGAATCAAAAAACGAGTAGGAATACTGTAGAGTGCCAATTACTGTACAAACTGGGTGAGCACTACTGCATTGTTTAACTATCATTGCTTGCACCTAACTTCATTTACTGTGACACTTGTTTCATTGCAGATTTTGCATTGACTTGTGTGTACAGATATGAAGGGTGTATTCAGAATGTGCATATTTAAAATTTTCCATGTGCAGTATGGCTCGGAATATTGTTTGGCCTTTTGCATGTTTCTCTACAAAAGAGAATTGAGTTACCTCACGAAGAACACAGATACATGGAAGTGGACTCCCTTGCCTGTAGAGCCTGCATGCATTTCTTTCATATTTTTTGTTGTTGGTTTTTTCCTCTCCTTAAGTTATATTTTGCCTTTTTTCTCTTTTCTATTTAAAAAAAAGAAAGGAAAAAAGCCCCCCTTTAGAAACACCTCTGCCATACTGGGAGCTTTATCATTTCAAATTGGAAAGCCATTTTGTAATATAAAATCATTCACATTTTTCATTTCTAATATTGAACTAATGAAAGGATTAACAAGAAAAAAATATCCTCCTAAAAATAACTCATTGTACTTAAATGTGGTTATCCAATGACAAGTAAACATTTGTGTCAGTTTGCATTTTATAAGTTTTTTTTTCACAATTAAATATACTTATTAAATTAGCAGTATATTCAGTGCTCACCCAGAGGGGAAGGAGGTGGAAAAGGCATACACACTACCTTCACAAAAGCTTCAGTTAATTACTTTGTAACACTACCTTTGCTGTAATTTCATTTGGGATTTTTCTAAGGGTAGAATTTGGTCTCACCAACAAGTGAGGATATAGCCTTATCTCATGGAGGACGAGCTCCGTTCTTACTCAGGAGCAGTCAGGGTACATTACATAAAACGATAGAGGATGCCTCATTTTAGCAAACTAGGTTTCTTTGTATCCTTAATTCCTTTTACAGATTTGATCATGTACTTACGACTGAATGTTGTTGTATGAACTAGTTTAAAATATTCAAGATCTGTTTATTGGGATGGGAGAAATAGGGAACGAAATGTGTATAAGTAACTTATTGCAAAATGATATTGCAAAAATGATACCTAGATTATATAGCCTCAGTAGTCTACCCAAGTAGCCACAGTAAGGAAGGATTCAGGCTTGTGATGGGAGAGGAAAACAAACCAACAAACCAACCCACAGCACAACCACACAGAACTAGTAAGATGTAGTCTGTCTTTCCTTTTTAACTGTTTACAGGAGTCAAGCCCATTGGAATTTCTTTTTCTAGTTGTTCCAATTGCTAATACAAGAATGGGAGATTGTTTGCAAGAGGGATTTATTGAGGTTTTTGGTTTTTCTTTTGTTTTTAGTTTCTGACGTCCTATATAATGTCCCCTTTTTAACTCCTTTACTAACTTCCATGGTTGTTTAGCACACAGGGAAGAACCTTTTGGATCTTACTTTACAAACACTCCTTGAAGAACATCGAATCGTTTTCATTTCAGATGAAATTTTACAATTAGAGTAATTAGGTTTTGAAAGTTTATTTTCTGGGTTTTTTTCAAGACTTATATGTAAAGCCTGTGGGATTGAAATTGTGCATTGTGACCAAATTAAAATTACTGTATGCACAGACAAAATTCACTCTATATACTCCCTATATTGGAATCTGCTAGGAAAAGATGATCAAGCCATTCTAGTTTTGTAAAGGCTTAGTGAGAAAATAAAAGTCATTGAAGTTTTTGGGTAAAATAAAATCAGACTTAGAGCACTCACTGATGGATGATTTCAGATGGCTACTAACAATTTGAGGATTATTAGTTCCAGATAGTACCCAGGCACAAATTCTTGCCTGGAAATTTTGGAGCAGTTAATGAAATTAGATTAAGGATAATTTCCCCTCCCCCACCCCCGCAACCTGTGTGTTCAAAGGTTAGGCACACCATTGCTGTTATAAAATATGTGCACTGCTCATTCTTAACATGGCCTGGGCTTGTGTCCCTCTTTTAGTTTGGTTCCTTTGTGTACCAGTTTAATGAGTGGATGACTGAGCCTGTTTTCTCTTCGCTCTCTAGTCTTAGAAACAAAACAAAAGCAGTTTGGGTCATGAACAGTATATGACTGCAAAATTCTCCAGCCTAGCTGGAAGTTGCAATAAAAACACATTTTGAAATGTATGGTTTTCATCTGCAGTTGAAGGGAATTGTAGAAAGTATGCTGAAAGCAAAGGGTTAAGCTTATAAAGAAATTACTTTGTTTCATACTTAGTATTTGTCAGCACCACAACTAATTGTAGCCATGGTGTCTTTTTGCAAACTAGTTGGAATATTCCCTAGCCCAAAATTGTTGCAAAGAGATTCTTTGAACAATTAGTTTGTGCTTGGTTTTATTATCACTCTCAGAAAGGCATCATTAAAGGCCCATTTTTAAATCTGGCCCTAAAATTCAACTTTTGTAGAATTTTACCGTTCAGAAAGGTTTAATCCTATGTAGTAGTCGATATAAGTGACGTATGAGTTGAGTTATGTAAATTTTGTCATTGTAGTGTACATGGAGTGATCATTTTACTAACATAAATATTTTCTATGTGTGTTTCAGTGGATGACAATCGAGCAGCAGAAGAATGGTGTGCCTACCCTTTAATGCTGCAGTTTAAATAAGAGAACTTGTATTGTGTCATTTCAGATTGTAGGCTGAGAGTTGTAAATAGTGAAAATTTGAGTACTTTTTATTATTTGTTTTGGTTAGAAAGTAAATTTAAAAAACAAACCAAACTCTAAACTTTCTCAGATTAAAAGTCCTGAGACCTGAAGATTGTAATATTCATGTCTGTGAAGCTTTTAAACATTACACTTGAGATCAGTCATGACTTGATATTCAGGTAAACTTTGTTTTCCAAGAAGCTTTTGAATAAGCATATTTCCTCCAAAGGTCTCTCTCTCTCTCCTTTTTACTTTAAAAAATTTTTTTAAGTGTAGATTATTTTAAAGCACTAATTGCATTACACTGGTAACTGCAATATAAAATAGCCATTATTGTTTTGTGAAGCATGGTTGAAATTAGATAGTGGTCCCTTTTAAATTTCATGAGCCTCTCAAAAAAGAAAAAGAAACTTAAAAAAAATTAAAAGCTGCTGAATATTTCAAAAGATTTATATTTTACCTTATTGTAGGTTTTGTAAAGTTAGGTTGTAATATTCAGGTGCACTTTTAATGTTAAAGTTTGTGTTCAGAGTTCCATTATACCATGTATTTTCTCGGAGGTGGCTCATCACATAGCTGGTTGTCAGTCTCAGTACCGCAGAGATCCCTTCATATTTGACTCCTCTCTTGATTTGCCTCTGTTCTGTATTGGCACTTTCAGTGTAGATATTGTAGTTTGGGACATCCTCAGAAATCTGTGATAGAGATTGATCGGTTCGCATGCAATTTCTGCTAATCAGTTTTGCATGACCCAGAAACCCCAGTTGGCCATTTTTATGATGTGGGAAAGTGTAATTTACAGATGTCTTTGTCACAAAAGCCTTTTTAACTCATATTTTCCAATAGGCAGGTAATTACATTACTCCAACTAATAATAGGAAATTATTATTTAAAAATAAATCTTGCATTTTTTTAAATGAGAGAACATTGATATATAGAGTAGTTAAGCTATGAAATAAAATTCTGTGGAAGGATATCTTATTGACGTTTTTATCATCATATTCTCATTTCTGAGACAGTGTAGTCATCAAGCTTGACAGTAATGTAGAGTATTACTTTCTTCAGTAGGCTTAAAAGTGACTCTGAACTTTGTGATGAGCTATATTATATACTTTTTTCTGTTCCCCAAATACTATGAAGGACAAGCTCTCTTTCAGGAAAAAAAATAATTTATATTTGTGTGTATAATACTTTTTGATATTAAGTTTGTTGTTATTCTGAAGTTTAGATGTTGCTTGATAAACTTGCTGCAGCAGATCATGAATATGAGTAAGGCTTTGTGTGATAATAGGGTCCTATGTGAAGTTAATTACTGTTCAGTTTTGGTGAGCAAGTTCAACAAGTGTGAAGTGTGTATTAGCTTTATTTGGTACACTTTTACTTTACAATATTGAAGTGCTTTTAGAACTCTGGTTATCTTATATAAACCATTACCTCAACCAATTGGCATTTCCATTTCCCAACAATTTACCTGAGCTGTAACATGAGCACTATATATATATATGATTAGATAGTAAAATAATAAGGCACAATGAGAAGTTTTAATTCCCAATTTTCTGGAGAGAATTCTAAATTAGGTGGAAAAATTACTACCTTTAAAGGCCCGTATCATAACTACCTTCTGTCATAAGGCAGTCCATAGCAACTTGTGAGCTGTGTGTTCTTCCTCTACCCCAAGTAAGCACATAGTGCCAGGCCTGATTCTAAGCCTTTGTGGTTCTCATACATTTTATTACCCCCTCATATAATGAAGCTTAAATTCAGTTAGTTATTTTTCATAGAACTAATGAATCTTAGTTTCATGTCAGAACATAAAATTATTTTGGATAGTTTTTACAGTGGGTTTATGACAGTTTGGTATCATTTTATTTAATAGTTCGTATCTTTGTAGATCTGATTTGGAAACAACTTGGTTTTGCTTTTGTAATTCTTTCCCTAACTAAATGCCAGAGGTCGTTTTTGGTATGAACCACAATTTTCTGTATATTCTGGTTGCTGTCACTGGTGATAGAATATGACAATAGACCCCATTGCTCTACTTACTGTTTTAGGAGACACTTAAAATTACATGTTAAGTTTTTCCTTCATGAAGACTTCAGGGCCATTTTCTTTGTACTTTTCTGTTAGAATTAGGTCTTTATTGATTACTTTGATAAGGCCAGTGTTACTAAAATCTTGTTAGCTATAGCCATACAGCCCTTTTCAGAGTCTATTAAACTAGACAGGGAATATTTTTAAGAGCTAAATTATTTTCAAAGTCTACTGAAAAGGAAAGATGTCATTGTCATACAAGGACTGCAGACTTCCAAACTCTGTTTTTCATTTATTTTTAATTCATTCTATCCATTAGACCAGAGTAGAATTTGTGAACATGGTGACTCAAAGGAAAACAAATTCTTTGTGTATTTCCAAAACCTTTGCAGTAGATAGATTTTTAAAGAAGCAGGCAGTAGTCCTGTAGCAGAACACTATAGCTGTGTGCCCTAAGTATTAAAAAAGAGATTGGGGGATGTGGAACAGAAGGTAGGAAAGTATGTAGGCTTTTGAGAAGAGGCTAAAGATTCTGGCCAAAAGTACTAAAAAGTTGTCACAAAAAAGATAAATGTGTTAAAGTTGGGCCGTCTTCATTTGGTTACCACAAAAATTTTTTAGATTGTTTGAAAATGAGAATCAAGGCTTAAATGTTGATTTGACAAACAAGAAATCATAAATTAATTTTGCAGCCATTTAGGGGGTAATTTTAAGGTTTCTAATTCTTTCAGAGCTATATTAGTAAAAGCAGAAAAGCAAGCACTTTTAGTTAATCTTAGATTTATTTGGATGTAGCAGATATTTTAATCATAATATTTAAATCTTTATTGTTTGAATGTGGAAATGAACTTTTTACCCTGTCTTGAACTGTCACTGAACAGGCTCAAGATGATCTTTGCAACACTGGAAATGACCCTCCACACACGTACCAAAAAATCTAAAGCAGTAAGACATATTTGATGATCCATACCTCTTAGACTTTTAGATTTGTCTTGGGAAAGAATTTATGAACCTGTAACCAGTATTAGTGCAGTCTTGGGTTCCTTGTTCTGCATAATTGCACCCTTTCTCAGGTATGTCCTGAAAACATAAATTTTAAAATAATCTCTTTAGAGATTAGATTCTCAGTGGATAGTGTGTAAGGGGACTGGGGGTGGGGGAGTGGGGTAGTTGGACACAGGACACTGACACAGTAGAGCAGGGATTTTTAACTGTCAATAGCCAAATAGAGTTTCATTCTAGAATATATTTACCCCCTCCAAATGAGTGAAACACTCCTATTTAAGTTTTGGTAAATATGTGGTGCTATTACACTCCTAAAAGTCATTTCTTTCATCCAGTTGACTTTTTTCCCCCTGCTTGGTGGAAGGGTATACAGTAAACTCTACTGTCACTAGGAAAGCACTTGTCTGAAACATTTAAAGTACTAGAAAAGGGATAATTCAGCACTTTTTCTGTTACAACACTAAAGTCTTAATTTATCTTCAGAGTCTTAGGTACTGTAAGTTTTAGGATGATTATTTAAAAATATAAAACATACTACATAAATAGTATGGGGTCAGATCACATTTATATAAGTAATTCTTATTTAAAAAAATAGAAGACAACATTTTTTACCTTTAAGCAATTCTAAATTATTGCCTCATTATCCCCATTTTTATTAAGCTTTTTAGACTTAAAAATTGGAATTTGACTGAAGGTGAGGAGGAGAAAGTCTCTTCCCCCCCCAAAAAAAAAAATTGTGTCAGACCAATTGAGAAAAACAAACCCCACTAGGAAAATGGGTAGGGATTCTCTCTCTCCCTTTAATCTTCAGGGAATGAGCAGTATTTAGAATCTTTGGCTGAAATTCAAGCCTTTTTACTGTGTAAATTTTTACTATTAATTCACTGACATGCTTTTTACATCAAAGGACTGAAAATGGATCTTAATGTTTTTAAGTTGTGGAAGGGTATATTTCTAAATCAAGGGGGGATAATTATTAACTAGGTTAGTATACCAGCATTAGTAAGTTTAAGGAATTTTAGTATGTAATAGCAGTGTTTGATTAAAAGTCTAATCCTATATTGCTAGTGGAAATTAGTTACATTCTGATCTAGAAGAGATAGAGTCATTGGATATTGATATGCTGTGCTGTCAGGAAACCAGATTAAGAAACCTTTATCTGACTCCCACATATTGCTTGTTCTGATGGGATGTACTTTACAGCAGCTTATTGCTGCTTTGGGGAGAAATGTATAAAATACCCATTTGGAGTGTTTGCGTATTCTTGAAACCTCTTTATAACCTCCACTTTAAATTGTCAGACATTGGTATTTTATCAGTCCACACTGTTAAATAAAACTAATGTTCTTAGGAATCCAACTTATACACACTGTTTAAAAACCCTCAGGGACAGTTTACACACTATTCTCACTCAATTCAGGTACTTTGATGCTATTCTTAAACCTATAACAGTGACTTGTATTTTTCTGTTTTGCTTTTATTTCAACGTGCTGGTAGCACATCCTTGATGAATGTCAACTTAAAAACTCAGTTCAGGTATCCAGGTATAACTCAGCCAAACAGATTTTAAAGCTGCATATAACTCTCCAGCACACGGTGCCTCACACTCTTATAGTGGCATTCTGTATATTCAGTTATTACTACTGAGCAGATAATATGGGGGTTCCTGTTTACCATGTGTTTAGAAAAAACCAGAATGTGCATAAAATATATAGCCAGCACACCACACACAAGATTAAACTCTATATTTTTAAATGCCACTAATAGCCAGCACAATTAAAATAACATTCCTTACTGCTTCTGTAAACGGTAGCAGATGCAGTTCCTTCTTGATGTGGCTCTTGCTTCTTCACCATGACTACTACTAAATTCAAGCACTGGTCCTTGGGTGTCTGACCTCTACATTCTAGTTTATGCAATGTCTTTAGAGAATTCTGTGCACTGGCCACTGTGATGGAACCATTGGGCCAGGAGTGCTTCGAGTTTATTAGTAGTGATTCTGCCAAAGTTGGTGTTGTAACACGAGTATATGGAAAATGTCAAATTAGCAGAGGTCTAGATCTGCTTATCAGCAATTTTTGTCAGTACAATTGGTAGCCTTGAAGATCCTCACTGACAAGTCTCTTCTGATGTAAAGTGTTAATTCCACTCTTTTAGCCCTTTGCATCTTTAATATTGAGACTTGTCTATAAGAGGTCTTTGTTCTTTAAAACTACCATTGTTTTCTGCAGTTCTTTCTGTGGTTAACAAAAGGAGATTATTCCTCTGCTTTAATATTTGATACCGTACATCTAAAAGGAATGCTTTCCATACATAAAGCCCATAGCCTTTGAAGATATGAAAATTGGCATTTTTTCAGATTTCTAGAAG